TGAGTGGCCTCTATTCATTGCAGACAGGAGTGATCTGCCTGGAATGTGTCCATAACATCACTTAAAGGCAACTTTCGAAGGAGGACACCCAAGTACAAGGTCTGGCTGAATTCCTCCACTCTATATTCAAAAGGTTCAGTCTATGTCTGACCTCAGAAGTTGGATATGAATGAAAAGTATTTTCAAGACTGTGGACTAAGTCATGTTTCTACCTTGCTCCAAGACAGGCAAGCAATACCTACCTTCCAAGGTGGAGCAATATCCCTGATTTCCATCCACAGTGGTACCCATTTCCTTCCATTTTGCTGTCACATTCCTGTTAGGAGACAAATTTGTTTCTGACAAATGCCCCCACAGTAAGGGGTCCTTCACCAACAGCCAAAAGACACAGCATCCTGCAGTGGGACTGTGGTTCCTAAGATAAGAGGGACAAAGGGATGTAGGTAGGCTGCAAACAGGACAGCAAAGAAGGGAGCCAGAGGAAGAAGAGCTCACCTCTCCCACAGTGTGACAAAACATCTTCCTTGGGCCTCATCTTCAAGGTAAGGAAAGAAAATAAATATTGCTGTGGTTAATCCATGGAGACTATCCCATCAGGACTTCTAATTTAGGGGCAGATTGGAGTTGAATTTGGCATGTTTCACTTCGAGAAGAATGCTATGGAAGTCCATTCATGGGACTTACCCTTGCTAACTATGGTGTCTATGTAGAACCTGTGGAAGAAGATGACTTACCTCCTTCTGTTCTGGACTTGTCTCCTGGGTTAGTAGACAAACTGCCATCTTAACAACCTGCAAGACTCCAACAATGGCTGTCTCAATCACACCAGGAAAATTCTTATCCCATGTCTCAACCTTCACAGAGACTTATCACTTCAGAAAATGGAGACATAGGCAAAACACAGTCTTAAGAATTTGAAATATGTTGTTCAGATTCTTGACTCTTACTTCCTTCTGTAAATTCCATTTTCAATTGTTTCTTCCCCTCACACTCTTCCATAGCCTTGAGAGATTTCTTTCCCCAAAACTTTGAATCCCCTCTTATCCTTTCCTATTTTAACTAATTAATTCTTAATGCCTCTGCAACCTTTGCTTCTCATCATCTGTTGTCAACCTTCAGCTAAATAATTTTTGATTGTTGCAGAGGACTTTAGAAAATATATAGACTAAGAATCACAGGAGTGCATCTAGGGCACCCCATGGAGCTGCATTTGTTTGACTGTACTGCTCTCCATTTCCACAGGTTCCACTTCCTTATGAGAAAAATGACTTCTTTTGGAGGCTGGCACACAGCAACATAGTCGTCTCAGACAATTTCCAATTCTCTTCTTCACCCTCTTCCATGCTCGGGATAGACGGCTCTCAGAAGCTGCAGATACATCTCTAGGAGGACCATCTTCAAAGCTGTTCTTAGAGGTAGCCAGAAGTGAAGATCTCTGGATTTCAGGGATTTCTTCAGAAGGGACATCGTTGCAGCTGTTATTGAGTGTTTCCTGAGGGAAAGATCTCGGGATTTCACATATGTGTTTAGATAGGACATCATCAGAGATGTGACATCTCTGGATTTGAGGTATGCCATCAAGGAGGACATTGTTAAAGCTCTTCTGGGATGACTGCTGAAGAGAAGATCTTGGGATTGCATCAATGTCTTCAGGAGGGACATCGTGAAAGCTGTTATTGGATGTTTCCTGAATGGATGATTTCTGGATTGCAGTAGTTTCTTCAGAAGGGACATCTTCAAAACTGTTCTTAGATTTTTCCGAACCAGATGATCTCCAGATTTCAGGTATGCCTTCAGGAGCGACAAATTCAATACTCTTCTTTGATGTTGCCTGAAGGGAGTATCTCTGGATTTTGGGTATGCCTTCAGGAGGTATATCACCATAGCTGTCCTTGGATGTTGTCTTAAGAGAAACTCTCTGGATGTCATATGTTGCTGTGGTGTTCAAATTGTGACGGACCTCCCTGTAGCTCCCAGAACTCTGAGTGTTTGAGCTATTGTTGGGGGTGTTAACTTCCTGGGTTGTTTCACAGGACAAGAAGGATGCAGAATAAATGCTCTCAGAGGACAGGGATCCTGAGGATGAGCAATTACAAATAATACTGTCCAGTGCCAAACATCTGCCCTTGACATAAGTAATCTTACAAGCAAGTTTGGAGGCTGCGGGAGGATGTTTGTTTCCCATATGCTGGCAGCACAAGCGGGCGGTATGCTCATCCTCTTCTTTCTTGATCCCTTCTCATCATGCATCTGGTGTTCCTCCAGCAAGTTGAGAAGAGCAGGCTCACTCAGTCCCCTCTGCGTTGGAAAGCTAGTGAGAGCATCTGCTGGGGACATAGTAACACGGGCCGGTAAGAATTTCGCAGCATATTTATAGAGGTCACAGGGTGACTTGTGGTTTAAAATTAGGTATATGGCCATGATATTATTGAATTTCTTCTCACGTAGACAAGCACTAATGTCCTTGGGGTGGTAGTCCATTCTCCCCATAGCCACCACAATGCAGGGATTCAGGTTGTTCCAGAGTGCCTGTAAGGATGGTGTGATTTTCCCAAATTTTTCCTTTGTCTTGAGCCACTGGTGCTGCCTCATGTCAAATATCTTGGGCCTATGCTCAGGCTTCACAGTAAACAACTGCACAAGGATGTTTGCTATGTTTTGGGAAAGGGTGTAAGGGAGGTGGTACTTGGGATCCAGCATCTCTTCCTTCATGTCTGAATAGGTGTTGGCTTTGAAGGGAAAGGATGCAGTCACCATGGTATATAAAAACACTCCCATGCTCCAGATGTCAACTGCTTTTGCATCGTATTCCTTGCCAGAGAAAAACTCTGGAGCACAATATTCCAGGGTTCCACAGAAGCCTTTGGTACCCTGGCCGGGGGTGACTCGGGTGGCCAGGCCAAAGTCGCACAGCTTGTTGTTGCCTTTGGCATCAAGCAGGATATTATCTAGCTTGATGTCTCTGTGTGCAATGCCATTGTCATGGCAGTAGTGAACTGCACACACCAGCTGTGTAAAAATGTGCTGGGCCTGCTCCTCCTGCAGACTGCCCATCCTCCCAGTATAGCTCACGAGATCTCCACCAGCAGCATGTTCCAACACCACATAGATGTATTCTTTGTTGTTGATGATATGGAACAGCTTGATAATATATGGGTGGTTTAACGTGTTATACATGTCGATTTTGGTTTTTCTGCTGAATTCATTTTTGGTTCCATTTTCTAGGACCTTGACAGCAACTTGCACCTCTGTGTGAAGGTGGTAGGCAAGCTTCACCTCAGCAAAGTCCCCTTTGCCAAGGCTCCTGAGGATGACATAATGATCTGAAAGTGTCTCCTCTTCAGAGGCACTGGCGTTCAGATCCAGCTGTATTTTCACCTTCTCACTGTTCTTGTTAGTGAATTTATTGGTAATATCCATGTCAACAACAACTGAGAAAACCAGATTAAAAACAAAGAGAAGTAGGCATTAGGGAAATTTATACGTTCCAGTTTCTATGTGAAAAAGTGGGTCCGATGTGAGGCAAATTGACTATGAACTAATGGTTCACAAAAAATATACGTAAACTAAGCCCCACCCAAAACAAATGTGGAAACCATACTGAAGTTGAGAACTGAATCTAAGTAAATAGACAATAATGAACATTGCAGAGACATAGAATCTTTATTATTGAAAAGGGCAAACAACACAGACACAACCTTACCCAAGTGATTAAGTAGGAGAAAAACACAGTTTAAATCTATTGGCAAACTATGGTGCTGTTACATCAAAAATGGCTGGAATGTAAAGAATTATTTAGAAATATTTATTTTGCCAAGTAACAGGGGGTTTCCTTTTGATATGGAGAATATATGCTGTCCCATCTCCAAACATTTCTGATGATAAAAATGTATTAACCAATTTATGCAAATCAAATTACTTCATAACCATTCTTGGGAATAAAC